TGACGTTCATATGTTATGCAAAAATTTCACTGATTCTGACTCAAATTTTGAGAGTTATGCCCATTCTTTGAATATACGACTTTTTATGCCTATTACAAGTACTATGCTAGTTTCCATGCTAGTCTTGGCAAGTTGGAGGAGTTTGGTCAAATAATTACATCTATAATATCCTCATTCTTACCATATACACTGAATCCAATAGCTCTTATTGTATTAAAACTATCAAAAGGATATAAATAATTGATCATCATAATTAATTTGGAGTGTCTCCATGTTTTCAACAACTCTGTTCAAGTAGGCCTGGCACTTGACTCCTTTATTAAACATAGTCTTGAAGGAGCTTCTTAATTTAGTAAGAGCTTCATGATCCAGAGTTTACAATCCCTCACTTTATCCCTCATCATCAACCATGATATCCATGCAGCCACTCCCACAATCAGTTAATTAACACAATTCATTGTGTCGGTATCATGATGTTTTAAAGTGCCAGTTACATACAAATACTCTAATTAAATATAAAGTGACACATTTCCTTTACTATCTCCTTTTCTTCCTCTCTAATAGCTCAATCCAGTACCAATGAGCAATGGCACTAGCTACTACTTATACAGATACACCACATTCCAGTACATTAGCATTGTGTATGGGAGGTGATTAGTGTCAAAACTATTATTGTTATTACACAATAATTTGATAGTCAATAAAACTCATTATGATGATAACAAACCACCCACGTAATTATACCACCCACGGTTGGAGGTGTGTCACAAGGTGTGGTTGTACTGAAAATGGCAGATCTAAGTCGTTGTATAGAGTTGATCAGAAGAACAATCCAGGAATTGTCTCGATACGAAGATGGCCGAACTATGCCTCATCACATTCTTGAATTTATTGTGCTCTCTATTGAGCTGGCATATCGAGAGCTGCTTGCTCACGATATTGCAAATAGTCTATCTCAGTCTCAAAGAGAGACCATTGAGACTGTACGTCATTGCTACACTGTTATTAAGGAATTGGAAAGAGGTCATTATAGATCATGCTCTTTGTCAGTGACAATAGTATATAATGGTGTTGGTCGTCCGAGGTATGACATTCCTGAAAGTTCACTTGAATTGTTACTTGAAAATAGATTTACAGTTCCACAAATATCCCATTTATTTGGTGTCTCTGTTAGTACTATTAGAAGACGAATGTCGGAATTGAGGTTACTTGTAAGGTCATATTATTCGACTGTATCTGACAGTGATTTAGATGCTATTATTATGGGAATACAAGAGCTATATCCTATGTGTGGAAACCGCCAAATGCAGGGACATCTACTTTCACGAGGATATCGCATTCAACAGTGTCGTATTCGAGAATCACAAAGGCGTATTGATCCATATGGAACAGCATTACGAAAGCTTCATGTTCTTAATCGACGTGAATATTCAGTTCCAAGCCCTTTGTCATTGTATCATATTGATGGGCACCATAAACTTATCAGGTTAGGTGAACTATATCAAGCGTGATCATAATCTTAAGTAATAATAACTTTTAAATTTTTCATTGAATTTTTACATTTTTTAACATTTAGTAATACTTATTTTGTTATATATGTAGTACAAGGTGTAATGTTATTATTTATTGTCTATAATAATTTGTTAGGTGGAAATTTGTTGTCCATGGATGCATTGATGGCTATAGTCGAAGAATAATATATCTACAGGCATCGAATAACAACAAAGCTGAGACAGTTCTGCAACTTTTCAGAGACAGTGTTTCCAAATATGGACTCCCAAGTCGTGTGAGAGGTGATAAGGGTGGTGAAAATGTAGGTGTGGCAGATTATATGATTCAGTGCAGAGGTAGTGGCCGTGGCAGTTTCATTGCTGGAAAGTCAGTCCATAATCAGCGGATCGAGCGTCTATGGCACGATGTTTTTCAGGGATGTTTAGTCATATTCTACAAATTATTTTACCAGATGGAGGATCAATTTTTGCTAAATATTGAAGATGATATACATGTCTTTTCATTGCATTACATTTTTTTAGGAAGGATTAATCATGCCTTGGGTCAATTTCTGGAGGCATGGAATAATCATCCTCTTTCTAGCTGCCATAATCACTCGCCCATTCAGTTATGGATTTATGGTCTTTGTGAACAAGCAATGGATGACATAGATCAGGTATATGCAAGTTATGCTATTTTCAATTCTCATTACAATCTTCATAGAATGCTTTACCATTCTTTGGAATCGATTGGAATGGTCCATTGACAGAAACTGAAGATGAAGAACATGTGCATGTACCTGTCGTAGATAACCCTTTAACACCAGAAGATTACAATGAACTGTGTCACACAGTGTCTCCTCTGGATCCCAGTGACAGTTTAGGAGTGGACCTTTACTTAAATGTTTTACAATTTATTTGTCAAAAATTGAATATTGAGTGTGACTAATGAATAATGATTTTTAACAATAAGTATAACAAAAACAATTGCAATAAATGCCATGAATGAGCAATAAATGCAAGAATAAGTGATTAATAAATGCAATGAGTGAGCAATAAATGCAAGAATAAGTGAGTAATAAATGCAATGAGTGAGCAATAACAAAAACCAATGAATCATACTAGACCAAACCCTCCGTTCATAGTAAGGCCTGTGTAAAGGTGTTCTTTAAAGACAACATACTCTTTATGCATTGCGGGTAAGGTCAATTCCATTCCACAGGTAGAAGCTGTAGGATAAATATTATCATGACTGAAGGTTAATGTCACAACACTGTAACCAAGTGGAGGAATGCTATCACTACCGCTATAAAACAAGAGAATTTTCTGTAGGGAGACACAATGAGTATCCGAACCTACACATATAATTATAGAAAAAAATAAAATAGTCCAACACATAGAATTTATTACTTTCTCGTTCACAGTCTTCTAAGTAGTTTACAAAGAAAATGTATGCGCTCTCTTCACAGTCCCTCATGTTAGTTCCCTTGGGAGAAAATTTAATGCTTGTGAACATTTGCAGAATTAGATCTATAAAAAATGACATTATGACAATACATGTAGTTAGATCAAACCTGATGTCAAAGGTATTTCTTTATTACAGTAGAAAGACTCAAGTAAATTTGAATATTTTTCAAGCATCTCCTGCATCCCTTCAATTTTCAATAAGCCATCACGAAACTGAGAAATCTCACCCAAAGAAGATAGAATAACGAAATGAAGCACCACAGTAGCAATGATTTGATCTTTATCACTGAGCAGAAGTGTAGCTATAGGCTTAGTATATCCACTTGTAAAAATAATATCTTGATTAGTTGTCACCAGCTCTTTTAGGCTAGAAATATCTTCACAGGATTTGATCTAAAATGTTTTGAACTATGATGCATAACAAATCAACATATATACCTTTTGCAAAATAGCTCGGATATTACAGTCTCCAACTTCAGCAATCTCAGGTCTCAAATCTGTTGGATCTACTCCACATATGTATTTAAAAACGGATTGAGATAGCACATTCATTGCTCCACCACCATGAGTTAAAGCCATTCCGGCTAGAATACCGATCTTCAGATACACATTATCCTAAAAATAAAATGTTATTTTATAGCTACATAGTATAATTAATAACTATGGTACAAGTTTAGCTAACTATAACAAACATGCCATATAGTAGAAACAGTTACCATATATATTCTGTAATTAAAATATACCTGAAATGCCAATGAATCATGTCTCAAACAACCAGTTGACTCTAAGTATTTCCCCAAATCAAACTTGACTAGTCTAAAAAATTCCCTTGTTAGCCCCCCAAGGTCTACTCCATCTTCACCAACAAACTCAACCTATGAGAAAATGTTTAGGTATCAATGATAATAACCATAACTGTTACATTCAATTTCATCCGTGGATCAAAATTGGCCTTTTGCATTCTCCTCAAGGCATCGTCTAGGACAGAAGAACGCCTGACTACCATATTAAACTCCACTGTCAGGTCAATACTTTTACTTAAATAAAATACTACGTCTGAAAGTGATCTGATAAAACTTTTAAACAGTTATATCACTTTTTAAAATACTAACTTAATTTCAATACTTTGATCACTATATAAAGCCACATCTTTGGTTGCCTCTGGTGTTTCAGGTGAGTATGGTGATGGTGGTGAAGGAGTAAGACTATCAATCAATATAAAATAAAAGATAAGCAGCACAGAAAATTATACTTCAAATCAATGTCATCATTCAACCTGCCAGACCCAGACTCAACAGTATTATGTGAGACAACAGACTCAATAGTATCATGTGAGACAACTGTAGGAGCCTATAATATTGCTTTAATTATGACAAAAATTAGAAGGATCACTCACGCCCTCAATTGTAACAGTATTAGCTGGTATAGGTACATGCTGTTCTTCTATTGGGTCAGAACTCCTATTTTAACCAAAAATAAATATATTATTATTTATAAAAATAATAATTAATGAAGCATACTTGACTATACAGGTTTCTATGTGTTTCCGCAATAAATTCATACTTATTCTTTCCTTACAGTAAAAACACTCTTCCTTTAAAGAATTACCTGTGACCTGAACCTATAATTATATTCATCAGTAATCTTACAAAATGAGTAGAGCCAATTTTTACCTCCTTATCAGGCAAAAGAGACAAATCTCTTTGCAAAGGCCTAATAAATATTCTTGCACTATGAACAACAGCTCTCAAATAAGGAACATTATAGCTTTCGTGAGGCACATCGATAATATGAAGAGTCTTGGATCCTTTGTCTTGAGTCCTTAATAATTCAAAACCTCCAGCTTCCTTCAATTTCGGAAACTGAAGAAGCAGCTCATCATAAATTGCTTGGGCATCACCATCACCATCCAGTACTATCTTCTTTTCACCAAGACCTGCTATCTGAAGAGTCGCCCATTCACTGGGACTGGGGACACACTCTTGATCAGTTTCAGCTAAGCATACAAAGGTGTGAGTCCAAGATGGCAATCTTTGCTTCTTCTTTCCTTTAGCTGTAACAGGCTCACTCCTTCTCTTTCGTAATACATTCATTGGACTCCAAAACCCTTCATCACCAGATACTGATCTACTGGTACTGGTAGTAGCAGTCTGAGACGACTCAGCAGCTCCCCGAGAAGCGGCTCCACTTGAGCAGGGCAACGTCGATTCACTATTCTTGTCTAACAATTATCATAAGCATGAAATCACGGAAACGTGCCTACTGACCTTTCTTATCTTCCAGCCTCTCAACAACACTCCTCAACTCCTCTTTTAAGCTATTAGTGACTTGTATTAATTCGTCGACTCGGTCATCGGCCATGACATACTGAATTCTACTTACTCCTACCGAGATAACGTCCAGAGCAGAATTACCTCGACAGAGATTACAGCGAAGAGAACAGTCTCACACTCTGTGTAAGACGAGGTGTTAACAAAGCTGGTAAAAAAGCTGCTTCTCCCCAAAACAAAAAACCTCGCAACCTGTCACCACGTGGACTCGTTAATCATCACGTGACAACGACTGAGTCTGATATTGTCAAAATGTGCATTGATTATCCAAGAGAATTCGTGACTATCAAATAATTTTGACACTAATCACCTCCCATAATTGTGAGTACTAAATAGTCTCTCTTATATGCTCATCACTCCTTCTCTCTAATCAATGAGTGAGTACTGACATATACCGGTATATCATGCACAAAACATTGATAATTATTATACACAGTTCTGAACTGTGTATAATAATTATTATCAATTGGTCCTGTATGACCACGTTTTTGCACGTGGTCAAACAGTGGAGGGTGTGGTCTAAATGATAATTAATTTGTTTGGAATGTAAGGCGTGGCTCGTTGTTTCAACAAAGGCAACAATTCCCGAGAAGAGGATGTCTGGAAAAAGTTAGTTTATCTCTTCCTACCATCTTCCCTCCTCCCCAGTCTTCGTGCTCTTTCGTTCTATTTATTCTTCTGTAGTCATTATCTTCATTTCTATTATTATTTATTTACTACAGGTTTCAAAATGAGGTCTGAACACAAAGCTCCTGTAATAGGGGAGTCCCTCTACCTGTGGGCAGGGAACCAGGTTGACTTACCTAAAGTTCATGACTCCCTTCAAAAGAGGGAACTGACTTCAACAGTTGATATCTACCAGCTTTCTACTGCTGACTGGTCCTCTCACCTAACAAGAGGTACTCCTCCATTAGGAGTAATTGGCTACTCCTGTACCACCTCTCATTCTAATATTTACTATTTTGGTGGATGGTGTGGTCATGATGATTGTTACTACAATACATTGAATTTACTGAATACGATAAAGATGCAGTGGACTTCATGCAGTACTGCTAAACAGTCGTTGATGAAGAAAGCTGGTGCTGGAATGATATCACTGGAATTTGATGGAGCAGAATACCTTGTCATAATAGGAGGGAGAGGTTCTACACCAACTGTTTATCATCCTCAGTTTCAATATGATCAACTTAAGAATGGTCGTGTTCGTACTAATGAACAGTTACTATATAATGTGTCCACTGGTAAGATTCTCTTTATATTAATAAATGCATGTACTGTATGTGTACATGTAGCTCTATATATACCGTAGATCCTCAAGTAAAAGCCCGGGCATCTATTTCTTAAAATGACATTTGGACCTCGAAAAAAGTAAAAAAAACTTAATGTAACAGAGGGATTTGAACTCAGGATGTCACACAAGTGACTTCAGGAAGCTTAGCCAAGTATCAAGGGATCTGTTTTACTAGTAGGCTACATTTACGTATTTATAGTTCCATTTTATTGCTAACCTGATGTTTATTTGCACCCGGCTTTTATTTGAGGATTTACGGTACATGTACTTGTACTTCAAATTCATTAATTGTACTATAATAGCATTTATAATGGGAAAATGTATTGATTGATTATCATTGTATTCTCTTTACTTTAGGACAATTTACTGTTCTATCTGTCAGTGGACAGTGTTGTCCACCTACTAATGATTTCATAATTGAGAAGATTACTACTACTGGTAATAGAGGAATAATGTTTGGGGGTATGGTGACTGTTAATGGTGATGAGAGTACAAGCACTAACAGTGTTTACATATTCAGTGTGACACATAGTATAATAGTAAGTTGTATTATATTTTGTTGTATTGTACAGTAATACATTATCTCAGTATTATCACTAGAGGATATATTGTGTTGTACTCATATTAACTGTATCTTGTGCATTACATTTAAATTTTCACAAAACTCTGATACTACAAAAATATTTTCATGATTAGACTGTGTATAGTCATGTTTATGGTACTTTATATTTTATTATTTACATGTACCTTAAGGAGACAATTATTGGTGTGTACTTATTTAGCGATTTTTGTGAAACTGACATTTGGCTGGTACTTAATTTAGCATTTTTGATCATTTGGTATTAATAACTACTAGAAGAATGTAAAACATTAAAGGAGCGAGCCTAAGCAAGCTATAGATTATGTGCTGTGATCTACATGTATGAGCAAGCAAAGCATAGATCTTGTTGCATTAATCTAGCTTAAATTGCTTCATCACTGACTACAGCCATTAACATGTAAAGTTATCTTGCTTACAGTTAGAAGCAGTCGCTGAACGAAGAAGACTATAATCTGCTTTGTTAGCCTAGGCTAACTGCTAGAGAAGTCTTTGGACAGCAGTTTAGTATTATCTTGCTGACCGTTTGCTGCAAATAAGCTTAGACTTGCTGACGGCCACCATTTATTCATTGTGACCACACCCTCTTTCAATGAAGTTATTATTAGGGTCAGAAATTAAAGTTAGCGCGGACTTAAGTTAGCGATTTTTTTAAAATCGCTAAAATTTGCTAAATTAAATACCTGCAAACAATTGTCTCCTTGATGTATACATGTATGTTGTACAGCCACACCCAAGTATATTGTGATTTGTTATACCTTCAGTACTTATACATGTATAGTACCTCACCTCATTGACATCAAAGTATCAAATATTAGGATTAATTTTTACATGTAATACCCTAGTCTCACAGTGATAGACTCAATTTTTAGAATAGAGTCTGGTTTCATGCCTAATCTCAACTCGTGCTTGTGTGGCGGAATTTGGTCGGCCCAATGAAATCATTGTTATCATGGTGTTACATTAAAACCCACTCACGCAACGGTAAATCAATTATCAACAAGACTATACTGAGGCTATTATACTTTTTTCTACTGATGATTAATGAATAATGATTAACTAAACCTTCTGACTAGATTGCCTTTATCTGCTCTGATGATGAGACTATTAGACAAGTAAAGAAATGCTTCTAGAAATAATGTGCTTGGATGAGTTGGATCCGAGGTGAATTCAGCCGCCATGATTGCTTTAACTTCAGTACTGCCGAAAAAAGCCAAAAATGGGAAATACTTTACTGCTTTTTTACGACCTGGGGGCTACGCCCCCAGGTCGTCCTATAATTGATTTCACCCACGTGCGATATATATATATTTGTATGTCAACACTTACATTTCTTCTATACATGTTATGTTGTATTGGTGAAATAACAAGCCTTAGCAACCATCCGCCCATGCTACGTAAGTGGATGTGGTCACGGCAAACAAAATGGCAGCTTGCATAAGGGACAAAGTTATGAGCTTTCTAACAGCGAAAGAACATAGAGATACTGTCTAAAGACCTCTCTAGAAGCATTAGAAGGTAGAGAGATCCTTCATAAGTCTTCATAAAAACCCAATTGTACTTGTAAGGTGGTGAAAGCAATTATAGGAATATTTTTACACTGTTACGCTTGTTTTTCTTGATACTAGCAAGCAAGTATAGAGTATAAAATAAGTATATAAGCACGTATAAAATCAGAATAAAAATAATAAATCCACAATATTGTGGTGTGGGTGTGTTTATAGAGATTAACATTCTTTGCCCATTCAAATCAAAACATTGAAAACATGAGTTGATGTTAGGCATGGCACCAGACTCTTATTTGGTAAATTAGAGTCTGGCTAGCAAGACTATATACTCATTATTTATATAGCCACACCCATTATTCATATTCATGTACGCTGTGACTGATATTATTAGTATTTTGTTTATGTATCTAGAACTGGGAGATACTGAAACTAGGAGCAATACCTAATGAGGGACTGTGGCCTATGGAGAGATGTACTCATGCTAGTGCTATTATCAATGGTGACTCTACTTCACCTACATTAGTAGTGATTGGTGGACGAGATAAGACAGATCAACTAGTTAATGAATGTTTGTTATTTGATAGTATCACTACTGGTCAGTACAGTTGTAGGAAGGTATGTGTGTATAGTACTGTAATGGTGTGTGTGTGTGTGTGTGTGTGTGTGTGTGTGTGTGTGTGTGTGTGTGTGTGTGTGTGTGTGTGTGTGTGTGTGTGTGTGTGTGTGTAGATGCATGCAGTTGACAGTATGTGTACTGATGTATACTGATGATAGATTAGTAAATGTTAGTGTGTTCAGTAGATAACACTATCACTAATGAACATCAACAATATATTAGAACCACCCACACATTTGATTAAAAATTGCATAACTTTGTGAGCCAACCTTAATGTGAGTGTGTGTGTGTACTACATGTACTACCACATTTTCTATTTCTTTACATGATGTGAAGTAAAATGTTTATTTTTGCTTGTTGATGGTGAGGATTAGACATGATTTTACAATAAATAAAAGTAAGAATCATATACATGTATATGAAATGATACAATTTCTTATTTTAGAAGTAATTGTATTAACATCATGTATCAGTATTACTTGTATACTTCTCTTTATCTACAGATTCCTCTACCTGAATCTGTTACTGGTAGATATGATCACTCACTCACAGCAGTCACAATGTCACCACACTGTGTGTGGCTAGTAATTGTTGGAGGATGTAAAGAGCTTGAATGGAAAGATGTCGGGAGAGGAAAGAAAAAGCCGATGGTTACATTTATCACTGATACTAATAGACTAATAATGATAATTGAATTAGGTAGGATATGAGCATTAAATACATAGTTACATTATCTATAATTATATAATGTATCTTATTGTCTCTCAGTATATAGTGAAGCTGGTGAGTGGATAGTACAGTCAGTACTGGATGGTAATGATCTCACTAGTAAGAACTATCAAGAAAAGTATCAATCGTACAGCAAGACCAGAACATGGTGGATGGATCAGCTAATAAATCATCCCACAGAGAAGGAAATGAAGCTTCAGAGATATATACAATCTTTACATCAAGACCTACAAGTGGCTCATCAGAGCAAAGTATCACTACAGGAGGCACTGGTTGAGGCCAATAAACAAGGTATATTGGATACTACACACACACACACACACACACACACACACACACACACACACACACACACACACACACACACACACACACACACACACACACACACACACACACACACACACACACACACACACACTTTAACTGTACTAACTGATTACTATTATGTACTATTGTGTGGTTATTGGTAGTGTGAGTGTGTGTATTAGTACTGGTTTACATTATGACACTAGTGGATTTAGACAATGCTGAGTATGGAAATAGTATCCTGTATTCAGTATAGGTCAAATTTTCAATGCATTACAGATAATGAGATTAATGTACAGTGACCTCTGCATGCTTACCATATATGGTATCATTAGCAAAATCATTGTACATGCATTTATGGGCTACTGTACATGCAGTGCAAATTTGTATAAACTAAAGATAATATTGAATATCATTATCTAATGTTTTAACATTGGTTGAACTAATTTTTAGTGCCTATATATTTTCTGTATATTCTATAATTTCTGTTGTGTTATTATGCATATACTGATTACTCTCTTCTTTTATATTATTATTCAGTTAAAGGTGATGATAGTAATGATATTATGAGCAGCAAATTAGCAGAGATGAGACAAGAACAGAAAAAGTTAAATCAGATCATTACTGGTTAGTGTACAATCAATAGTAATTACATATGTATATTAATATTCTATTAATTTATAGACCTTAGAGCTAAAGTGTCTGATAATGACTTGCACATAGCCAAACTAGTGAAGGAAAGACAAGAAACAGTCCCCAAGCAAGAGAGGGTCCTCCATCAATCTATAAAAGAGACTAGTTCCATTGGACTACAATTTAATTATCTGATCCCTTCAATGGGTAAGAGTATTATTTTGTCACTGACTGAGCATATCTATTTTATACAGTTGTGTGTGTGCGTACTCACTGTATATATTTTGTATAATTGACAGATAAATTGGATTGTCTGAGCGATGTCCAGGTAGCAGAGAGGAAGCTGTTCTTAATTCAAGGAGACAAACCTCAACTGATGAATTGGGAGAAATATGGTCTAAGGATTGGAGTACAAGAGGAAAGCTTACTGCCCTCTGAGACAGTAGAAGCAGCAGTGGTTGCTCTTGTAGGAGGACAGTTTGTCTTTCCAAAAAATACAGTACTAGTGAGTGCTGTTTATGCTGTTTCAGTATCCAAGTCTCTCCTCAAGCCATTGCGACTAGAAATTGAGCACTGCATTGATCTGAAGGGACAACAAGGTCTTACACGATTTTTAAAGTTTGCTATAGCTCCTGTGAGCACACCCAGTCTTCCTTACCAGTTCTCAATAGTTGAGGGAGGAGAGTTTAGCTCTAATAGTGGATATGGATCCATTGAGCGTACAAAGTTCTGTTTGGTGTGTATAGTTGGATTGATTATGGTGACCATTGGTGGTGGTCCAACTGGAGGAGGTGGAGCAGGTCAGCAGCAACAACAATTAGTCCAGCATCAAGTAGCAGGAGGACAGGACCATCAGCAACAAGCAGCAGGGGGACAGGACCAACAGCAACAATTAGCAGGGGGACAGGACCAGCAACAAGCAGCAGGGGGACAGGACCAGCAACAAGCAGCAGGGGGACAGGACCAGCAGCAACAAGCAGCAGGGGGACAGGACCAGCAACAAGCAGCAGGGGGACAGGACCAGCTGCAACAAGCAGCAGGGGGACAGGACCAGCA